TGTGTGTGTGTGTGTGTGTGTGTGTGTGTGTGTGTGTGTGTGTGTGTGTGTGTGTGTGTGTGTGTGTGTGTGTGTGTGTGTGTATTTATAATAACACATTTTGTTCATTTGTAATTTATGTAAGACACCAAACAACGCTTTAAATAAAAGTTTAATCCCTTATTATGTATTATATTTTAAGTAATGAAAGAAAGAAGTTATTTTTGTAATTTTTATTTTATTGTAATTTATTATTTATACGTAATTTTGATCTCTAGAATTTAAATTAACATTATGGCAAATTACATATCATCATTACTTTATGTCATTTTATTTACAGTGATACTTATAAATTATTTTATTACTTTTATATCTTACTACTTTTCATTTATCTTTTCGTATCTTACATGCAAATTACGTAAATTTATAACATAGAAATATTTTAACTCCCTAAATTTTTTATTTTGATATTTCTTTGAAAAAAAAATAATGATTCTAGAATAATATAGTAAAATAATTGTTATTTATATAGAAATATATAGAATTTCTAAAATTCAAGATACATTATAGCGAAAAGATGCTCCTGGCAATCGTATCATCATCGCTCAATTTTTTCGTTTAACAAATCATAATTTAATTTAGTATTCTCGTGATGTAATCTTCGAGATTTATCAGAGCCGAATGATGATGTATTAGTACGAGAAGAGTACGGAAACGAGAGGATAATAAAATGAGGGTAATAAAATGAGGGTGGAAAATCGAGAGAAAGCGCTGACTAACCCTTCATCTTTAAGAAGTCCTTCTTCTTCTCTCTTCTTTCTGCTCTCTTTCTCATTTCCTTCTTCAACAAGATCTCTCAAGATACGATAATGAATCAATTGAGATCTGAATCGAGCTCGAATTCAGATAAATAGTACACCAACTGTATAGATAAGAAATTGCGATCGGGATAATGAGAATTCGAGAATTGACTTGTCAATCAATCTACTCGTTAAGTCTCTCCACGCTTAATGATTATTACAGTTAAGAAAGAATTAACGAAACGATAATTCAAAAACAATCTTACACTAGGAAAAATAATATTGAAACATTATTTTGTACTACCTTTTCAATCAATTTTCAATTAATAAACAAAACTGTTTGAAAATTTGTTTAACCTTTAGTATACCTTTAGTTTTTGGCCTTATTACACACGTTCGATCATTCGTGTCCTAGATTAATATTCATCACTTTTACAAGTATATAAATTATTAAATGATTTTTATATATATTTTGACATCTTTAGAAAATATTTGTACAGTTATATATTCATAACAAATTGCAGATAAATTGTTATAACTAACTGTAGTTAACAAAAAAAAATGCAGTTTCATATAAAAATATAAAATTTTGAAATAAAAATGTTTAAAGGAAAACTATAGTTCAATATCTTAAAATTGATATGTCAAATTACAAAAAAAAAGTTCAAGTGTCAACTATCTAAAATGTGTAGTTATTGAGTAACTTGAAAATGATGTTTTTTTAATATACATAAATGACTATAAATTGAAGATATATTATGTTTACATTTTAAACAATGCATATTATTATTGCTATTGTGTTAAAAAAAACTTATGATTTATTAGAAAAATTCTTTATAATATTACGACAATATATTGTAACATATAATATTACTGACAACATTTTGCACAAGGTTAAAAATCGTGTTTATTAAGAGCTAATATGTTGTTCTAAGATAATTAAATTTTTTTTTAATTCACGAAATATTTCCGTAATACAACCGAGAATTAATTAAAAATGAAGAAAAAAACAATTTTTTTAGTTATAAAAAATGTACACTCTGTACACACGTTGGATTATTTGTAATCCAAAGATGAACTTCGGAGTTATATGCCGTCCAGTTAAAGGACGAATTGAGACTACGCACAAAATTTGTTCTTTAGATGTCAAATGTGTTTTTTTTAGATGTCAAACTTTTTTTAGTAATAGAAAAGAGACCGATATCAGGTGCTCTTAGTTTTTCAAAGAAAATAAATCCGCAGAACATGAATGACTCAGAGATGTGTACTAAGAGTTAAATATAAAAACTGAAACGAATAATTCAACAATTTGAGGTCTCATGTAGTAAAGTGAATTATTCCGATCAGCATGTAAAATGAATTATTTTGTCGTCAGTTGCAGAATATCCCTGAGACGTATCACAATTCTGGACACAAATTCTTGAAGAATCGGCTGTCGCGCTTTGCCAACGTCCATCACTTCCTCATGATTTGCTTCGTAGTGATCTTCGTAATCCGTAACACATTGGTTAGTGATTAAACTGAAGGTGAACACGGTGAGATCGCAATGTCGGGCGGTGATCACCTCATGAACCGTGGACATGCCTAAATAGTAATCACGTGTTATTATACATGAAACTGTCTACATAGAGAGAAAATATATAATGTAAAGAAATATAATTTAAACACAAATAAATATAGATGCAGCTCGTAATGTGCAAGGAAGAATAAAGTATAAACAAAGTGAAGGAAACCTTACTGAACAAAATCACGTCATATAGTTGCATGATGAAATCATGTAATCAAAATCACACGTAAATCATAATAAATTGTTCCAAATCAGTACATGATTATAAAATTACGTATTTTGAAAAATCACCTGATATGTTCTTTTTTCTTCTATTTTTATCATTCAATTCTTTAAAATTCGATAACTTAAAATCACATGACGGAAAAATTATTTGTAATACAATATTATATATTTTTTTAAATTACATCATTTAAAAAAATCACATATCCGTTACGTGATTTATATTAATTTACATTACGTGGTTTAATTACACGATTTCATCATGTGACATGATTTTTTTTTTTTTTTTAATAGGGAAAAATGACAAAACTAATAGAAATCACTATCTAATTGTTATATATGTATTGAAATACTATTATCTTCTTAATTATCAATAATTATATATACATACTTAAAAATATCTATTACTTTCAACTCTAAAATATATCTATAAAATTTTTCATAATTTTTGTTATTTTAAAATGTGTATAATATATATCTTTAAAAAATTTTTTAAACCAGTTTTTAAAGCAATTTAACACTTTTATAAAAGAATTAATTTCGTCATAAAGGTCATTCCCCGTTATCTCACGTTCAGTTCATTCTATTTTAATTCTGCCATCACGTCATACAGATAAATGGATGTATAATTGCAAAGTAAGTAATTCTATCACAAGCTATTTGCAAAAACAAAAATTTAATTGCTTATCTATAAATCACACATGTAATATATTACACACATAATATATTAATTCAAACATTATTACGATATATAATTAATGTTTCTAATAGAATTTTATATCATATTGACAATTATAGATATTTTTATTTGTTTAGAGTATTATATACTGTCATAGATAAGAAAATCGGTATAATTCCATACTTTTCAATTTAAATATAAATATAATACGTTTCTTCAATAAAATTAATCATTTTGTCTCCAGTAGAGTCATGTGCTAAACTGCATATTTAGAATTTTAAAGTAAAATATTCCAGCAAACATAAGCATCTACAATATAATCGTTAGTTATAATTTTCCCCTTGACAATACCTATAACCCAACAAACATAGAATATAATATTTATATAATTATATACATATAATTGTTATAACGTTATATAATTATTATATTCTGTTTTTACTAATTGTGAATTATGTGTTATGTTACAATTATACATATAATTATATCGTTGAATGGACAATTAACTAACTATTGTTATGTTTATTAGTTCCTGTTTGATGGGATTAATATTGTCTACATATTCTGTAAATATTAGCATCTTTACAGTTATTCTATAAATGCAGATTGTAAAAAGATTTCGTATCAAGATAACAAACATCTTAAGGTGTATTTTAATCAGGATTAGCAAACGTTACTTTACAGTTACTTTATCATTACTTTCTATAATAAACAATTTGATAATGATGTTACAATTTTTTATGACGGTAACACGAACTAATTAAACGCTAAAGTTGTGCTAACGTTAGAAAAGTCGCTTTGAAAAGTAATTGTCATCATTACGCGTTACTTATTAAAAAAAGTAATAAGTAACAAGTAACACATAATGTTATTCATTACAAGTAACGCGAGTAAAAAAGTAACGCGTTACAAATTAATGGAAAAAAGAGTTATTTTTTTCAATAATAAATGACTTTTTCAACCCATACAAATAACGATTGATTTTTCTAACTCTGATGTTATCCATTATAATATATCGTCATAAAAAATTCACAAAAATTCACATGTCATTATCAAATCATTATTATAACAACGATCAACAAAGTAATGGCTCTATAAAATTCGGTAAAAAGATCTTTTAGCTGTTGCTATTACAATCCAATGATAATAAAGGTTATAAATAGGAATTTGCTAAAACTATAACTTCCTGGAAATATTCTAGACAGATTTATCAAAAAGAAAAAAATAGCTTTTAATACTTGCATTGAAATACAAATTATTACATATAGTTGCAATAAAAATAAACGTAAAAATATCCTTAAACATTTTTAAAAAGTCAAAACGTTTTTATAAATTGCTTGTCATTTAATATGTACAAAATAATAAACAAATATTTTTTCCTGTGTTAAATAATTTGAGAATAAAAAGATTAAAAATATTAGTGATGATAACATTACAAATAAATAACGTACATTTACTACGCTTGGCTCGATTAATTAAAAAAATTTAAATGACGTACCAACCGCGTCGACACCGATCATTCGCAACATCTTCAATTCTGCCACTGTCTCGAAATTAGGTCCACCCAAACACGTGTAAACCCCCTTATGTACAATATCGCCAATGCCCATCTCTTCAGCTACTTGTCTACCGATCTCCATCAGTGTGGTATCATAGGCTTTATTCATAGGCGGAAATCGAGGTCCAAACCTGAGAAATGAAGAAATAAATGAAGAAACAATTAAAAACAAAAAACTTAAATTAATAAATAATAAATAATAAAGTAATTGAATAAAGTAAAATTCTTGATTTTTATATACCAAATAAATATTTCAGATGTTTATTTTATTTACTTTTTTTTCTAAAAAAAAAGAAGTAACATTTTCCCGATTCGTTATAGATAAAAATATGTTAACTTAAGTATATCGTATACGTATATTAGCAAAGAAATTCGCATAGAGTACAAATCCAACCTATCATCATTTGGTCCTTGAAGCGGATTGTTGCCGGCAAAACCCATCATATTCACATGATCCTTTACTATCATGATATCACCTACTTTGTAGATGGGATTTAGACCGCCGGCCGCGTTCGTAGCAATTAAATGTGTCACACCCACCAGCTTCATCACTCTTACTGGCATAGCACACTACAAATAATCGCTTTTATCATACATCTCAATAAACATGTTTTACATTTTTTTTATCTAGAGTAAGATCAGGAGACACGGTAATAGTGTCTCGGGTGTCAAGTCAGTCATTGCGATTAGACTCCCGAGACCGGACCGTGTATTGCAATTACTGAAGCCAATTATACCTTCCAAAGTGGATAACCTTCATAATAATGAAATCTGCCTTGCATGCACATGACTGGTACACCTTGAAGATACCCAAAGACCATCTGACCGGTATGTCCTTTTACCGTAGATATCGGAAAATGTGGGATTTCTTCATAAGGGAAGCATTGTTTGTCCACGAGGGATTCCGCAATCGAACCTGGACACAACTCGTTTTGCTCATATGATCCTGTTTAGGAATAAACAAAGCTATGATAGGATAAACCGTCACCCGGAATTCCCGCAAAGCCGTTTAGCATTGTTTAAAGCAACATACACACACTCACATAAATTGTTGTTAATCCCATCTTAATTTTATCTTCAATTACATCTTTTCGGGGACTTTATTATATAGAAGAATTATTATTAGACGTTATCAGAAAAATTTGAGAAAAATTATTTCTGTTCTTTTTAAATTACTCAAAGAATAGAACAATCGATAAGTAATATTGTGTTACTCTAGTATTCAAAAAATCTATGAAGATCTTCTAATATACCTATCTAATATACCTATCTTGTGAATTATTTTTCTTTTTTGAGACCATAATTATTCTTTCTTCGAGAAAAAGTAATTTAATTTGTGAAAAATTTCAAATACTTTATATTATGCGCGCAAGCATAATCAACATGGCTATTCATACTTTGATCGCGATTTGCTTTCTTAGCATAATTAAAAGTTATTAGGTCACAAATGTAAATAGGACCAAAATTAGCTGCGATTTTAGCGTGTCAAATGACATATGCAATTTAATGCTAAGCGATATTTGAACAATATTCGTGAAATCAAGATGCAATAGTAGAAGTAAACAATACATACATATAAACATAAGCGTGAAATCATAATTAGGCAGACATTGTTAACTTTGTAGTAATATTCAAAAGATATTGTGCAAATAATAGCATGCACAAATGTCCAAGACAGTATATTTCAAGACACTATATTTCAAAATCGTTTATCATGATTTTATATCACAAAAAATTTATCTTTTTAACTACAATCTATAAGCACAACCTTCAATAAATTAGCTTTGCATAAGCACCATATATATTATAAAGAAAATTATACATAAATTTAGAATATTGCATTATATTCTTATGATTTTTATAAAAATTCTTGAATAATGTCAAGTTAATTAATGTCTTAGCAAATTATATATTTTATTAGATCTCATATCGTTACTACTATAATACAACGCCAAGACAAGCGTGGGCGATTCTATACCAATTAAATTTAAAATTAATATCTAAGATTCATAAATTTTCAAATACTTGAATCTACAAAGAATCTTGTTACATATTAACGTTATCGATTATGCAATTATTGATTTTGCAATGATTAATTAATTGACTTATGTCAGTAATAAATAAATAAATATTATTTAACATTATACAATTATAAACGAATCGTGTATACATATATATAAGTACAAGAAAAAATGTATACATGTAATACTATTAACTACTAACCCATTCCCGAACCGCATATAATTCCTATTTTCGGTTTAATCTTGATGCGATTCAATAAATATTGTGCTGATTCCTGTAATATTTCGAAGGTGTATCTGAAAGATATAATAATGTATGTTATATTTAATATAATAAATATTAGGTTTAATAAATTGCTTTAAAAGCTTCAATTCGAACTTGAAAGTATTGGCATTAAAATTCTCGATCTAATTGTAAGTTTCGAACCTTTAAAACTTAAAAATTTCGAAACTTCAATCTTATTATATTAACTTCAATCTTACAAACTTCGAAGAATCAAAATTATACAATTATTAATTTAATATAGCTAACAGTAACAAATAGATTTTCATAAAAAATATACAAATATATTTGCGAATATATATTGCATTCGAAAAATTCAAATATTTTTCCAAGCTTCGAAGCTTCAAAGGCGTTTTAAACTTCGTAAGTAGGAGTTAATTTCGAAAATTCAAGTTCTTTCAAAACTTCAAATTTTCCAAGTTGTCAAAAGTAATAGCTCTGAACAAACAGAAATGTTTAACATGGATATTTGCTCAATATTAAATTATTCCATGTTCAATCTTTGTTATTATTTCTTGACATAATTGACAAAGTTTGAGATAAATGAAATTTTGAAATGTATACATATAATCGTAATTTCGTTAACTTTCTAATATTCAGTTTTATTCAACTTTTGATCTTTGCTCTTATTATAAATCAATCAGTATAGACAAGCTGGGAGATAGTAGAATTGCGAAGTAACTCTCTCGCGATTGAACATGGCCAGCCGCCTTCTCTCTGCACTGATATCACAGAGACATATTAAAGCATACTACTCAACAGATTGGTACTGATTAAGCACTCGTCGTACCGTTGCTTTAGCTTCACGATCGCGCAGCTGTTATTAAATGTCTCATAATTGCATGTAATTGCGTTTCTAGGCTTTACGATAATGACAACTATGGAGACCAATCACCACCATGGATAATTCATACAGTAGTTTTAAAAGTAGTTTTAAAAGTTGAATATTGCAAGTACGATTACTTGATATGATTTTATATTCAGGAAAGTACCCTAATAGAGATAATGACTTTTATATTGCAAGTACGATTACTTGATATGATTTTATATACAGGAAAGTACCCTAATAGAGATAATGGCTTTCCGTTAATAAACGCTATTGATTCCATGAATTTATTGTTCTTGGATTGAAAACTATTTAGTGAAAAATTCATTATTAAATTATGCCTGTAATCGTTGCAAAAAAAGATTTTAAAATTTATTTATTTTATTTTTAAAATTTGGATATCTTCAAGTTTTATTGAGATGAGCTCTGAAACTTTGTTTATTATTTAATAAGTAAATATTTGGCAATAAATTCTTTATGTGGTGATAGAATAAGATCGTACTAATAGAAAAATACATGATATGTTGAATTGCTTACATACAGAAGTTAGATTTGATTGTAAGGCATGGCAATTGTAATATAAAATACCCAGGATATTTCTAATATGAAATAACCTATGCTCCTATGTAGTGAAAATCGTTGCTAAAACATAAATGTTATTGTACAATAATAAAAAGAACAATTGAATGAACATCGAGTGCCTGTTTCTGCAGTGCTTGGTTCCAATACCTACCTGATGAGTCAGTTAGGTACAATGCATCGCATTTTGTACGCGCACTGGCTGTTTATTTGTATTTTAGAAACATTAAATAAAGTTTTTTAATAATTGCAATACTGATGTACTTTGCGTTTTACTATCGATTTTTCAAGATATTTCATATTAGGAGCATAATTTTTTGACTTTGCGGTTTATTCATTTTTACATTTTTTTTAATTTATAAAAAAAATAAAATTTGAATTAAATTTTACATACATTATTTTAAAGCTTACTAAATTCCCTTCAAAATAACTATTTTTTTATTCTGTCCATAGATTTCTAGCATTTGCACAAAATGAACTCGGTATCTTATAATAGGGATTGTTCTTCTAACACCAACTTTTATAATTAGTGGAGTAGAAGGCGTGTTATTATATCTTCTTTCTAGTTCACACAAACACACACACACATACACACACACACACACACACACACACACGCACGCACGCACGCACGCATGCATTAAAGTTGTAATAATATAAATATACAATATTATTAATGAAATCGGTCAAAATTTTTCATTAAATTATACAAAATTTGTAATAAACATTTTATTATCATCAATTTTTAAAGCAGTAAGTTTTCAAAATCCAGGATTGAGTAGTAGTATTAAAGTTAAAAAGATAAAAATTAAAAAGTTAATTCATATTAACTTAACTTAGTTACAATTTAGACTCTTAACTTTTTAACTTTATTTAGTTACATTTTATCCGTAACTATTAATTTTTTATTTAATTTTTTTGAAGTTAAGTCTCAGATATAATACGCGATAATAGCGATAGTTTAAAATGAGATGAAAATTGCAAAAGTGAGCGAATTTACTAGATGTTGACCAATGAAATTATAAATATTCTAATGAATTTGCTGATTTTTGTAATTTTCACTTCATTTCAAATTATACAATCGACTCTCAGATTTCAATCTGTCAGAAACCGTATATTTTAATGTATCTAATTTTTGATAGGTTGAAAAATCTATTATTCCCCTTATTATTAAAATATAACACATCAATACCATCTTCGGCTCATATGAGTTCACGTTGACCGGCTGTTTAGTGCAGGAGGACTCATTTTTGATAACTTGTGAGAAAAGATGTCCAACAAAAATTTCGAAATGGTTTTATTACTTATATTTGATAAGTATATGTGAACAAAATATTCAACCAGTATATGTAACAGTCTATGTAAACAGTGTATATATGAATAAAACATGTAAATAAAATATAGAGTATTTTCTAAATAAAGTATATATTTGTCATTTCCGTTGTTCGTAAGACTGAAACCTTGGAATCATGAAATAAAAAAAATATTAAAAAATTAATTTAACTTTTAACTTTTCAATTACTTTTTTTTATTAACTTAACTTTTAATTTAATTAATTTCATTATAAATTAACTTATATCTTAACTAAATTAAATTTTCAAGGTTGATAACTTTAACTTAATTTAGTTAAAAAAAAAGATTATTAACTTATCCAACCCTGCCAAAATCAGTTATTTTTAATGCGTACTTCGAAAATTAATTAGACTCGAAAATCTTTATACGGAAATATATTATTTTGGCACAAAATTATAAGCGATTAAACACACATCAAATAAAATTAGTGTGCTCAGGGCACACTAATTATACATACACGTTCATGAATACTGTTCCATTCACTTTAATTTTCATAGATCAATTGATATTGATCTTGATCTCACATCAAGTTTAAATTAAACAAAAACTTATTTCTCAACTTGTTACATAAATACTGCGCAGATATATATTATAACAACTATTTTTAAAAAATTAAAATGAAATTTATATTCATTTATATACATTTGAATTCATTTATACTGATCCATTTATATCATACATATTAATTATTCCTCTTAAAGAAGTTTCGAACAGAAAGGCCTGATGTTTTTCCGAGTACAATTCTAAATAAAATAACGAGCTTAACAAATTCAGAAACAAATTCTATCGAGTAATAAGAATCAATAATATTTAATCTATGAAATGATCAAATCAGTTGTAATCTATGAATTAATAAAGTGAATGTAACAGTAATACAAACGTATGCGTAATTACGAGCTTACTAATTTTATTTATTTTGATGCAAATATGCATCGTGTATAACGTAATGCGATAATAAAATTTCCGTAAATAAAGATTTTCAAGTTTAATTAATTTAAAATAACTTTAGCTTATGCAAAAATTGAAATGTTACTACAAATTTTATGTAATTGAATAAAAAAATGTTGACCTACTGTTTTATTAGTAACATTGTTAAAATTGAAAATAATTTTAATATGACTGTAAATATATTTGAAAAACATATTGTGTGTGTGAAAGTATTGTATATAAGTGAATGAGTACGTAAATTAAGAAAAAATGACGCACAGTGCATATCTTAATCGCATACTTCAACCTCAGGACCTGAACAAACAATAAGGTATGTCTAATAAGAATCGCCTATATGATCCTTACTAGCGCCTGAACAGGAAATGACTAGACGCGCCTGACAAGAAATGCCTGATATAACTCAAATTCTTGATAAATCCTGAATAGGGGCCCAAATAGATTTTGTAACAAGAACGTGATCTTTTAGTCTTATCAGGTTACTGTCGAAATATTGCATTACACTCCTAATATATTAGGATTAAAGATAATCTGCTAGGGATCTTAATCGCACCATGATTCAATTTCTACTCGGATTGTTGCCTTCTACTGCAGTAATTATGATAAAATATTAAATATTAATAGAAAAATATACGTGCAAGATTAAGATAAGTAGCTATATCGTGTTTTGCCATTCTCATTTCAAACTTTATACACAATTTCACAGTTTTTCTCAAAGATTCGAATCTTTTGAATATTCCTTGATTTACGAATTTTTAAATTAAGTTCGGAAAATTGTAATATTTTAAGATTTTTCCAATGTAAAATTTTTACATTTTTTTTTTTATATTGGATAGTTGAACGCTTTAGATTTGATTTTTTACCTTAAATCCCAAAAAAATTCATATTTTGAAATTACATAAAAACATTTAAAAACGTATTAAAATGGTCAAATTCCCGCAAGTTTAAATTATTACATTCGAGTTGCTGTTTGTTATTATATATGCGCGCTCGTTCACTTCAATTCATAGAAATTTTGCATTTGGGTACGCGCGTGTGCGCATACACGATAGATGGGATTTGAGTAAATCTAGCATACATGTAACTAAAATATCAAAAATAAAATATCAAAAGACTAAAATATCAAAAGAGAAAAGAAGGTATAGACAAAAAAATATATTTATTATAACTATATCTATAAGTATACATTAAATTATTTATGCTTGTGAAAATGTATCGTTTTATTATAAAAAAAGAAATTCGATTTTTAAAAGTTGAAGAACGTTCAGCTTCTTTTTTGTATCTACAACATTATATAAGGAAAAAAAAACTGCCCTATTTTATTATTTTTTGCTATTTCTTTTTGTTGTTAATCTTTTATTTATAACGTTATTATTATCACATTTATTATTATTCGTTGGATGTATAGTATGATTCACTTAAAATCTGTCCCTTTAATAATCCATTTTATGTGTGTGTGCAAACGTATTTATACTACATTAAACAATACTTAAAAATGTAAAAACTGTGTGGTTTGCAAAGGAAATTTTTCCGATACCTGACCATAGCAAATGGTTGTTAATGTATCACCATCAATAGAAAAAAAGAATAATCGCACTATAATGTGTCATTCGCGATCAATATCTATAATAGTTTTTCAAGGTAAATGAATTGATTATCCGTATCTAATTTTCTCCTTGAACAAGAGTACACGTGCAAATACGATGAGAAATATATCTTTATAATAGATCGAAAGCAACTTTTTGATTTAGCTAATATCTATACATTCTGTTTTTTAATCAGCGTTAAACATCAATTTTTAAAAAACTTTTATTAGACCTTAGAATACGTAAAGAGTATCTACATATCTTATTATAAATTAAAATATTCGAATGTCGAGCGGTATAGTATGCATATTAATTGTGTAAAAGCCTTACACAATTTTCAATACTTCTATATTTGCATCTTTTTGTTTCTCGAGCGATAGTTTATGTTTTTTCTATAACATTATTTAATTTATAGATAAAAACCTTGTATGGCTTACAACTTTTTCCTGAACATCACTATATATTCACGCGTTCGCTTCCGATGATTTATAATATCCCTGAAGTCTATGTTATGCATTTAACTTAAATCTGCTACTATTTGAGCTTGTCGGTAGTTTAGCAGGTAGTAACCGCATCGTTTTGTTTCAAAGCAAAATTACATCTTATTATATTATATTAAGCGCGTATTATAGTAAGCGCACGAATGCGCCCAGAATACTTCGTTCATTCGATTTGTGCTGTGTTTGAGAAATAAAATTGATTCAACTAATTTTGCAATATTAATTTGGTCAGTCGCTAGGAATAGTAATATGTATGTATTTTAGCTTAAAAATTCTTTTACTATTTCATGCTGAACAGCATTAAAGTAAATGTAAAATTTAAAAAGAAATTTACTTATTATCTAGTTAATTTCAAGG